TTTTTTTTTTTTGCTTGTTTGTTTGTTTTTGAGACAGAGTTATACTCTGTCGCCCAGGCTGGAGTGCAGTGGCATGATCTCAACTCATTGCAACCTCTGCCTGCCAGGTTCAAGCAATTCTCTGCCTCAGCCTCCCGAGTAGCTGGGATTACAGGCGCCCACCACCATGCCTGGCAAATTTTTTGTATTTTTAGTAGAGAGGGGTTTCACCATCTTGTCCAGGCTGGTCTTGAACTCCAGACCACCCACCTTGGCCTCCCAAGGTGGCCTCCCACCCACCTTGTAATGTTGGGATTACAGGTGTGAGCCATCGCACCTGGCCAACCAGTTTTTTAAATGAGTGAACAACTGGAATAAACAGTTATCCAACAAAAGATATGAAAATAGCCAATAAACACACAAAAACATGTTCAACTTGATTAGCCATCAGGGAACTCAAAATCCAACTGACAGTGGGATACCACTTCACATCTACAAGGACAGCTGTACTTTTTTAAGATGTTAAATAACAAGTGTTGACAAGGATGTGGAGAAAATGGAACTCTTGTACATTACTGGTGGGAAGATAAAATTGCGCAGCAAGCTGTGAAAAACAATTTGGCTGTTTCTCAAAAAAATTAAACATTGAATTATATGACCCAGCAATTCTGCTCCTAAGTATACCCCAAAGAAATAATCACAAAGATTCAAAAAGATACTTCTAGGTATATGTTTATTGCAGCACTATTCACAGTAGCAAAAATGTAGGAAAAAAAGAACATGTCCTTCAACTGATTAATGGGTAAAGAAATGAGGTACGTTGGAATATTACTCACCCATAGAGAGGAATGAAGCTATAATGTGGGTGAACCTTAAAGTCATTATGCTCAGAGAAATAGCCAAGAAGCAAAATGATACCTGTGTATGATTTCACTTATATGAAACATGTAGACTATGCAGATTCATAGAGATAGCATCAGTGGCTGGGCGCGGTGGCTTATACCTGTAATTCGAGCAGTTTGGGAGGCAGAGGTGGGTGGATCACTTGAGGTCAGGAGTTCGAGACCAGCCTGGCCAACATGGAGAAACCCCGTCTCTACTAAAAACACAAAAATTAGCCAGCCATGGTGGCACATGCCTGTAATCCTGGCTACACTGGAGGCTGAGGCAGGAGAATTGCTGGAACCCGGGAGGCAGAGGTTGCAGTGAGCCGAGATCATACCACTGCCCTCCAGCCTGGGTGACAGAACGAGATTCTGCCTCAAGAAAAAAAAAATAGAGGTAGCATCAGTGGCAACCAAGGACTGGGGCAGGGGAAAGTGGAGAGTTATTGATTAATAGTATGAAGTTTCTATGTGAGATGATGAAAATTTTCTGGAAAAAAATATAGTGGTGAGAAAGTAGAATATTGTGAATGTAATTAATGGCATTTACTTGTACACTTAACATGATTAATGTGGCATATTTTATCTTATATATTTTACTACATCTAAAAAACACGGGGAGAGGGAAAGTCCACCATGTAAAATACATCCGTCTTAATCAGACGGTCCTCATTGTACCCATGTACAGGCCCCTCATGACCTTCTGCACAGAAATAACCAAGGATGTAAGGACATGAGGCTTCCCAGCCAACTGCAGATGCACAACACAAATATATCTGCAAAGAGACTGAGGCACAAACCTCAGCACTGCCAGGACACACCCCCTTCTCATGGATTCTGACTTTATCTGACCCAGCCCACTGTCCAGATCTTGTTGTGGGGTTGGGACAAGGGAGGTCATGAAGCCTGTTCCCGGGGCATTCTGTGTGAGCACACGAGACCCCCGCCCCATTAAGTCTCCACACACAGCTCTGACCATCACACATTGTGAGGAGGACTCTAGCATGGGCTCAGGGATCACACCAGAGAATCAGCTACAGAGAGGAAGACGGGCTGGAGGAGCTGATGGATGACACAGGACGGGGTCCCTGCAGTTCACAGGTCCAGCTCACCCTGGCGTAGGTGCCCCCACCCCCTGATCCAGGCATCCCTGACACAGCTCCCTCCCGGAGCCTCCTCCCTGCTGACACATCAGGGTCCCTTACTCAGGCTATCCAGAGAGGGCAGCACCTTGGACAGCGCCCACCCTGCCCCAGCTTCACCCTTCCTGGCTCACAGGGCTCAGGGCTCATGGCTCAGAACAAATGGCAGAGGCCAGTGAGCCCAGATATGGTGACAGGGCAAAGATCCAGGGGTAGCTGCCTGGAACAGGGGCAGATGAAGCCACAGATTGGAGAAGATGGCGCAGGAAGGAAAACCCAGGAATGGGCAGGAGAGGAGAGGAGGACACAGGCCAGTCTGTGGCTGCAGCCCAGGGTGGGACTGTAAGTGTGAAGACATCTCAGCAGGTGAGGCCAGGTCCCATGAACAGGGAACAAACTCTCACCTCCCCTGATGCAGGGACACAGAGAGTGTGTGGTGCTGTGCCCCCAGAGTCGGGATCCCCTGTTCTGGTCCCCAGGGAATAAGAAGTGAGATTGACTTGCCCCTGCTCCTCTCTGCTCCCCTGACATTCACCTTCCCCTCATGCCCTTCCCTCTCTAATATGATTTGGATCTATGTCCCCGCCCAAATCTCATGTCAAATTGTAAACCCCAGTGTTGGAGGTGGGGCCTTGTGAGAAGTGATTGGATCATGTGGGTGGATTTTCTGCTTTGACACTGTTTCTGTGATAGAGGTTTCACATGATCTGGTTGTTTAAAAATGTGTAGCACCTCTCCCCTCTCTCTCTCTCTCTCTTACTCATGCTCTGCCATGTAAGACGTTCCTATTTCCCCTTCACCGTTCAGAATGATTGTAAGTTTCCTGAGGCCTCCCCAGGAGCAGAAGCCACTATGCTTCCTGTACAACTGCAGAATGATGAGCAAATTAAACCACTTTTCTTTATAAATTACCCAGTCTCAGGTATTTCTTTATAGCAATGCGTGGACAGACTAATACAATCTTCTACTCCCAGATCCCCGCACAGCGCTCAGCCCCAGACATCACTGCCCCTGGGGGCATGCACAGTGCAGCCTCCTGGAGACAAAAACAAAGTCACAAAAGGTGACAAAAATCTGCATTTAGGGACATCTGATTGTGAAACAGGAAGGACAGTATACTTGGGGCCACAGAGACTGGGGCTCACCAAGCTGAAACGTGGTGGCACTTTGGTATAACATGTGCATGACCCGTGTTCAACGTCTACAGATCAGTGTTGAGTAAAACAGCCTGGTCTGGGGTCGCTGCTGTCCCCACTTCCCTCCCTGTCCACCAGAGGGCGGCAGAGTTCCTCCCAACCTGGAGCCTCCCCAGAGGCTGCTGACCTCCTTCAACCGGTCCCACAGCCCAGCAGGGTCCACCCTCATCAGGGTCACCTCGGCCCACGTCCTCCTCGCCCTCCGAGCTCCCTACACAGATTCTGTCAGCTCCTCCCTGCAGCCCGGCGGCCGCCCACCTGAGGCCGCTCCCTCTGCAGGCAGCTCCTGTCCCCGACACCCCCTTCTTCCCAAGGCTCAGCTGAAAGGGCATTTCCCAGGGCAGCTCCCTGTGATGTCCAGGACAGCTCAGTCTCTCACAGGCTCCGACGCCCCCAATGCTGTCATCTCACAGCCCTTCTCTCATTACCATTAACTCCTCAGCCCCACGAAGTTCACTGAGCGCCTGCTTCCCTGTTACAGGAAAACTCTGTGGATGCAGGGTCCACGCCTGTCCTGCTCTCTGTGGAATCCCAGGGCCCAGTCCAGTGCCTGACATGAGACAGATGCTCAATAAATACTGGTTAAATGTGTGGGAGATATCTAAAAAGAAGCATATCACCTCCGTGTGGCCCCCGGAAGTCAGAGTCTGTTCCTTGTGGACACAGGAGCACTGGCACCAGCTCGGGAGGAGGCCAGCAAGTGCCCACGGCTGCCCCAGGGACGAGTCCTCAACTCCTGGAGCTTCAGAAGGGAGGACAGAGGCCTGCATGGAATAGAACCTGGGCCGCCCCGACCCTGCAGCCTAATCCAGGGTTCAGGGTCAGCTCACACCACGTGGACCCTGGTCAGCATCCCTAGGGCAGTTCCAGACAAGGCCGCAGGTCTCGTTTTGCCCTCCGGGGGCGACATCGCAGACAGACAACACTCAGAAAATGGATTCCCCTGGACAGGAACCTGGCTTTGCTAAGGAAGTGTAGGTGGAGCCTGGTTTCCATCCCTTGCTCCAACAGACCCTTCTGATCTCTCCCTCGTACCTTTCTGGGTTCTATGAGTACCATGTTCTGCCAGGGGTCCCTGTGCAACTCCCAACTCCCTCCTGGTACCACCACGGGGAACGTGGGGTGACCACAGGACAGTCAGCCTCGCAGAGGACGGAGACCACCCAGGACAGTCAGGGAGAACACGGACAGGCCCTAAGCCACAGCTCAGCCCACAGACACGGAGAGGGAGGGTCCCCCTGGAGTCTTCCCCAAGGACAGCAGAGCTCAGAGCCACCCACCTCCCTCCACCACAGTCCTCTCTTTCCAGGACACACAAGACACCTCCCTCTCCACACGCCGGAGCTGGGGACTCCTGAGACCTCTGGGCCTGGGTCTCCATCCCTGGGTCAGAGACCGGGCTGGTGGTACTAGAGACAGAGGGTTGGTCCCTCCCCAGTCACCACCCAGTGAGCCCTTTTCTATCTCCCAGAGCCACCTCCGTCACCTTCCTACTGAACATCATCCCACCTTCCCAGAGCACTGGAGAGCGTGGGGAGACCCGGGGCCCAGCTGGGTTTCTCTGTGACAAAGGAAAATAATCCCCCTGGTGTGACAGACCCAAGGCCAGAACACAGTAGAGTTCAGCACTGGGGAAGGCAGGTTGTCCTCCCAGGGGACGGGAGTCCATCCACCTTGCCAAAAAGCTTTGTCTGGGGAACTGAAAATAAAAGGGAAAAAGGAGGAGGGACAAAAGAGGCAGAAATGAGAGGGGAGGGGACAGAGGACACCTGAATAGAGACCACACCCATGACCCACATGATGCCGAGAAGTACTCCTGCTGTAGGAGGAGACTCAGGACAGACGGAGGAAGGACAGCAGACCAGGCAGTCACAGCCGCCCTGACAAGAGCGTTCCTAGAACTCAGGATCTTCTCTACAGAAGAGGACAGAGCAGACAGCAGAGACCATGGGGTCTCCCTCAGCCTCTCTTCACAGACGGTGCATCCCCTGGCAGAAGCTCCTGCTCACAGGTGAGGGGAGGACAACCTGGGAGAGGGTGGGAGGAGGCGGCACAGAGACTGGCTGGGGTCTCCTGGGGAGGACAGGGCTCTGAGACGGACAGAGGGCTCCTGTTGGAGCCTGAATAGGGAAGAGGACATCAGAGAGGGACAGGAGTCACACCAGAAAAATAAAATTGAACTGGAATTGGAACAGGGCAGGAAAATCTCAAGCGTTCTATTTTCCTAGTTAATTGTCACTGGCCACTACATTTTTAAAAGTCGTAATAACTGCATCAGATGACACTTTAAATAAAAACATAACCAGGGCATGAAACATTGTCCTCACCCGCCTACCGCAGACATTGGAAAATAAACCCCAGGCCGTTGAGGGCCCTGAGAAGGCTCTTGAGCTCATCACAGGAGTCTGCAGCCTGTCCCAGGCACTGAGGTGCACGCAAGATCACACAAGTCCCTGCCCTCATGAAGCTCATGCTCTCATGGGGAGGAAGGCAGACAGGCAAAGAGATCTAGAATGTGAGGTCAGGTGTTGACAAGAGCACTGGTGGGAACAGAGCAGGGAAAGGTCAGAAAGAAAAGAACCAGGGTCTCTAGAGGAGGTGTCAGGGACGGAGTCTCCCAAGAATGCCCCGATGTGAGCAGGACCTGAGGCCAGTGGGGAGGCAGTCGCGCAGACCCCTGGGGAGCAGCATTCCACAGAGGGAAATGCCAAGGTTGGAGGTGCTAAGGAAATAGGAGTCATGCTGCTGACCTTGACCCAGCAGGACACACATATACACACACACTCACTCACTCACTCCGGGGCTGGGGGATGAAGAGACCTGCTCAGGACCCAGGGCCCCGTTTTTCCACCCTAATGCATAGGTCCCAATATTGACCGATGCTCTCTCCTCTCTCTTAGCCTCACTTCTAACCTTCTGGAACCCGCCCACCACTGCCCAGCTCACTATTGAATCCAGGCCGTTCAATGTCGCAGAGGGGAAGGAGGTTCTTCTACTTGCCCACAATCTGCCCCATAATCTTTTTGGCTACATCTGGTACAAGGGAGAAAGAGTGGATGCCAGCCGTCGAATTGGATCATATGTAATAGGAATTAAACAAATTACCCTAGGGCCCGCACACAGCGGTCGAGAGACAATATACTTCAATGCATCCCTGCTGATCCAGAACGTCACCCAGAATGACACAGGATCCATCACCCTACAAGCCATAAAGGAAGATCTTGTGAATGAAGAAGCAACTGGCCGCTTCCGGGTATACCGTGAGTGATTCCCCATGACCTCTGGGTGTTGGGGTTCAGTTCTACTTCCCACATACGGGATTCTCAGGCCTGGGCTGTGCCTGTGCCCCCTCTGTATTACGTGCCGTGTTAGGGTTTGGACATTTAGTGCAGGACACACACAGAAGAGACAAACTTCAACAGATCAGAATTCCTTTCTGGCATCCAGATCCTGCGGACACTCACTGCAGAGGAAGGACAGTCTGATGAGGGGACTCAGCAGGGGGAGGTCAGTCTCAGCCTAGCACCCCATGCCTTCCCCATAAACCTGACCCTGAGAAAGACCCTGGAGAACCGGATCAGGGCCTGGCCTGAAGGACTTCCTGGAATCTTCACAGAGAAGCTCAGCCCCAGGGCTCCTGACTCCAGGTGACCCAGGGGAGCCTGTGCCAGGGCTAGGTTGTGGCCTCCTGGGCAGGGCTGATTGGGAGCAAGGACTTACCAGCTGTCCAAGGGCCATGGCTCCTGGAGCTGGATTCTGGATGCAGAATTGGAGTTTCTGGCCACACCTGTTCCCTGTCACCAGAGTCTCATCTGGGCAAGGACAGAGCCTTGTCCTTTACTTGAGACTCAATGTGGGGAGGATAGATAGACAAGGTTACTAGGGCATCAGTCCATTGCCCTGGGGACATAGGTGACTCCATGGGAAGTTCAGTGTCCTCAGAAGGAGGAACAGAGGAGAGAAGATGCTCCCGGCAGCTCCTTGTCCACCAGGGATCAGGCCCAGGGCCCTCTCTCTTGGAGGCAAATCAACATAAATGCTCTTCATTTGGGCAGTTCCTCTGTGCAGAGCTGAGATCAAGTGATCGTCAATATTTTGAGGTTAATTCACAAACAATCTCACAGCCAAATAACACTTATCCTACTTATTGAAAGGAAATTGAGGCACAGGGAGACAGTCACGAACAAGGGTCACACAGGCCGTAGACAGCAGATTAGAGACATACGAGGTCTGTCTGCAGCCAGAGCCCCCTCCTCTCCTCAACCCGGGGTGGGTGGGGCTGTTTGTTGTCAGGCATTTGCAGACCTGAGACTAGTCATGGGTCTGCTTCCTTTTGTCTTGTGCATCCACAGCTGAGAAGTGGAGCTTCTGGTCCGGAGAGTGAGAGGTGAATGGAGAGCTAATCAGTTTTACTCTAGAACTAAATCACCTCAACTGTCAGGGTCAGTGCCAGGATTGTCCAGGCCTCTCCCTTAGATCCACAGCCCCCTCACTGGACCTGAAATCCTGTGCTTCCCGAGGCAGTGTCACTCCCATGGGAGGATAAAGGAAAGGATTTCGCTTTCTCTCCACACTCACACCCCTGCGCCAACACAGGCCCAAAGTGAGACACACTCTTGCTCAGTAGCTCTCTCATGAAGGAGAGAATGAATGAAGGAATGATCCATAATCTCTATAGAGACTGGATCCTGGATGCAGAATCCTAGGAAGTTCTGGCCGGTTCCCTGTCCGTCAGGGGCTAAGATCCATGTACCATTCCTCTGACCCCCTGTCCTGAAAGTAATCCTATCTCATGTGACTCTGGGGTTCCTTGGCCATGGGAGGGTTTTCAAGGCTCCCTGGTCCTGGTCGGGACAGCCAAGGGACTCCTACTCCTGGGGTCTCTGAGGTCACTATACCCCGCATGTCTCATTGCCATGGGCATTTCTGACTGTCTCCTGTTCCTCCGTGCTCCTCCCTCTTCATTCCAGCTGAGATGCCTATCCCTGAACATCTCCCTCCACTCTTAGGCCTTCCCCAGACACTCCCTCGAACAAGGCTGGCTGTCCTGTTTTCTTCCCGCTCACACTGTGGCCTGGCCCACTTCCCAGGCAATAGGGAAGGCACAGAAATCAGCTGGAGCAGCCGCTCCTGCCAGGCTCCATCACAAGCCAATGTCAACAGGTCACCAGGAGAATGAGCTTCCGCTGTGTCCCCGCCCAGGGCTCTTTACCTCCATGAGGCCAACACACAGAACAGGCAGCAGGACAAGGATGAGCAACTCCTCCATCCACTTCCTACACTGACTCACCAGGAGGTCAGAGGCAGAAGGACAGGTCTGCAGTCCCCAAAGCCCACATGCTTATTCCACCCATTTCACTACCTACTCCATCTTCATCCTGGTGTGGGGCTCACATCCTCCAGTGGATCCTGGGGCCTCCCCCAGGTGCAGCTGGCCAAGCAGGTGCTGTCTGATGGGTTTGCTGTCCATTCTACATATACCTGTGTCCTCGTGATGATGCCATTGTCATAAGGTGGGGTCCCTTGGACTGAGAAGTGCACCAGCCACTGGCGTCTCACTTAGACTCTGCCCCGTTATACAAACTTAAACTCTAGTTGCACTTTCTGAGGTTGATAGGAGAGGAAGAAAATCTTTCACATGCCTGATTTGGGGCTTCTCCTCTTTTTGCCTAACTCTGCACAGGAACCAGGGGCAGGGAGCGCTTTCTAAACTTACTAACATAACACACATCGCTTCTCCTAATTTGGCATCATTTCTCCCTTTATGTAATTGACACACCTAAGACTTCCTCTCTGACCGGTTCTGTCCTCCTAACAGGACTCATACCCTTCTCTCTACTCAGGGAGTCACTGATTTCAAACCATCTTCAGCATCTGCCTTTGAGCATAATGTGATCCCACTGGAATTGAGAGCAGACCTAAACCTTCGTATAATATCAAGAGAAGTACTACTTCCAGCAACTGATCTTAGATCTTTAGGCCATTAACAACAATTTCTACTTCTGGAAAAAATTTAATGTTTCCCCCAAATGTCTTTCATTTTTTTTAACTATAGTCAGAAAATAACATGAGATCAAAACTACTGACAAATTTTTAAGGGCAAATTATAGTATTACAGGTTGAGTATCCCAAATCCAAAAATCCAAAATCTGAAATGCTCCACAATCCAACATTTTTTGACCACTGACATGATGCTCAAAAGAAATGCTCACTGGAGGCTGGGAGTGGTGGCTCACGCCTGTAATCCCAGCACTTTGGGAGGCCGAGGCAGGAGGATCATGAAGTCAAGAGATCAAGACCATCCTGGCCAACATGATAAAATCCCATCTCTACTAAAAATACAAAAATTATCTGGGTGTGGTGGTGCGTGCCTGTAGTCTCAGCTACTTGGGAGGCTGAGGCAGGAGAATAGCTTGAACCCAGGAGGTGGAGGTTGCAGTGAGCTGAGATTGTGCCACTGCACTCCAGCCTGGCAACAGAGTGAGACTCCATCTCAAATTTTAAAAAAGGGGGCGAGGGAGAGAAATGGAATGGAAAGGAAAGGAAAGGAAAGGAAAGGAAAGGAAAGGAAAGGAAAGGAAAGGAAAAGCTCACTGGAGCACTTTGGATTCTGTATTTTCAGATTTGGGATGCTAAACTGGTAAGTATACTGCAAATATTTTCAAAACTCAAAAACAGTCAAAAATCCAAAACATAAGTCCTAAGCCTTATGCATGAGAGATACTCAATCTGTATGAACTATAGGCACCCAGCTGAACAGCAGATCTCTAGCACCTCCTCATCCTGCGTAACTGAAACTGCAGAGCCATGAACAACTCTCCATTCCCCCACCTCCCAGGCCCTGATAACCACCATTCTACTCTCTGATTCCACGAGTGTGGCTACTCTAGGGACCTCATATAAGTGGAATCCTACAGTATCTGCTCTGTGAGTGGCTTATTTCATTTAGCATAATGTCAAATGGGAGAAAATAATTGCAAAATTTCTTCTCAAAGTTCTATCTCATAACTGTCAAACACACATGGTCCTTGAGGGCCAGATTTCCAGCAGTTCATGCTTTCCCTTTTCCACCAGTCAGTTCTGCATTTGCAAATGTCCACATGTATTTATGGAGAGATCCACAGGTCCTCACCTGCCCTCTGCAAGGGGAGAAGGGACATTAAAGACTGAAGACAGGCTGGGCATAGTGGCTCATGTCTATAATCCCAGCCTTTTGGGAGGCTGAGGTGGGCAGACCACCTGAGGTCAGAAGTTCAAGACCAGCCTGACCAAGATGGTGAAACCCAATCTCTACTAAAAGTACGAAATTTAGCCAGGCATGGTGGTGGGCGCCTGTAGTCCCAGCTACTCGGGAGGCTGAGACAGGAGAATCGCTTGAACCCGGGAGGCAGAGGTTGCAGTGAGCCAAGATCTTGCCTGGCTGACACAGCAAGACTCCATCTTGAAAAATAAACAAACAAAAAAAAGACCAAAGACAAAGAATATACATATGGTTCTGCTGTTAAATCCAGGCAGCTCCTGCCTGTCACCTCACTCTTTTCTAGATCATTCCCTGGACTTCACTCTATCTTTAGGGTCACTGGCTCAAGTCAGTCATCATCAAACACCTGGGGAAAATTGCCCCACCTTGTGCCTCCACTGCCTGACGACTGAGCTGACCTCCAGGCTTGCCTCTGGTGTCCCCTGTCTTATTTCTGCTGAAACATCCAGTCCCAGGCCAGCCTGTACAATATCTACAGGGTTTAAGGACAATGGGAAGTCCTATCATCATCCATTTCTAGGATGTCCCTAGACAGGGAAGCTGCAGAAAACAAAACACCTAGGGAAACAAAGCAGGACTGAAGGTGGAAGGGACTCAGCACCTGCACGTTCCAGGTGAGGACCCCAAGGTGGGCCAGGCAGTCAGCTGGTCAGGGAGGAACCAGGAGAGGCACCAGGAGCTGTGACCCTCCCCCCAGTCCTGTGTCTGTCCACAGCCCAATGCTACTGCTCAATTCACAGAAAGTCTGTGATTCTCCCACACAGAGCAGGTGGCCTCAGAGCTCTCAGATCATCATGTATCTGTCTTGTGACACACACACCTGCCGTGGGCTTTTAAGGACTCAGGTGGGCTGAGGGGTGGGAGATGCCAACTGTGATTGAAAGATGCCTGTGGAGGAATCAAAGGTGCCACACAGGGCAATCTTCTCTCTGTTATCTGCACAGCGGAGCTGCCCAAGCCCTACATCTCCAGCAACAACTCCAATCCCGTGGAGGACAAGGATGCTGTGACCTTAACCTGTGAACCTGAGACTCAGGACACAACCTACCTGTGGTGGGTAAACAATCAGAGTCTCCCGGTCAGTCCCAGGCTGGAGCTGTCCAGTGACAACAGGACCCTCACTCTATTCAATATTCCAAGAAATGACACAACATCCTACGAATGTGAAACCCAGAACCCAGTGAGTGTCAGACGCAGCGAGTCAGTCACCCTGAATGTCCTCTGTGAGTATCTCTGCTCCTCTCTGGCCCAGGCTGCCGGCCCAAATCCACAGGGTCAGAGGCCGGGCCTCTCAGTCCCTCTCAGGTTCAAGTACACAGACCCTCACCCCTGGACATCCAGACTGTCTGTGACTTTCTGCCCCAGAAAAACCTGGGCAGACCAAGTCTTGATCAAGAATAGGAGGGGAGGGGCTGCTCCTGTCCTGGGAGGCTCGGGGTCCACACCCTGTGATGGGAGAAACAGGTGAATGTCTCAGACTCAGGCTCAGTAGATACAAGAGGGGTTTGGTTGAGACTTTAGGGTTGTGACTCAGCTTAGAGGGACACCGTGGTCCTTCCA